GACGTCCTAGAGCGTTAGAATTGTAATATTCCTATATAGCAAATTCTGTCCCAAAACACCCAATTTGACATTGTGTGGGGGAATCACATGCCAAATTATATGTAGATCTGGGCTCAAAAATCCAAATTTATGCACATTACATAGATAAGTTAAGCAAAACATGTTTAAACATCTTTGAAATTTTGTTGCATGTAAAATACAAAACCCCTTTAATTATTCTCTTGATATTCATCAGCAGAGTTGCGACATCTTGGTCATGGAGCCATCATTGCCCTAGAGTAGGATTGTTGCAGGAAACTTTTTGGCCAGCATGTCAACAGCCATCTCTGGTCTGGGAGGATTAGTGAAAGTGTCATTGACAATTGGTGCAGTCTTGGTAAATTCCAGAGCCATGCTCCCCCCCTGGAATTTGGTATCATCATTGTATCATCAGGGGATGAAGTCAGATTAGCCTTATATACATGAGGAATGTGAGAGAATGACTGTAAAGTGTTTAAGGTAGCGTGCATGCTTCAACACCTGTAAATTTCCAATAATCAAATGTCACATACTCAAAATGTCTCTTTTTCAATGGGTGTGCTTGCCTTGACATCTTCTTGTGATTATATAGTAATATTAATATTATTAATATTATTGATTATGAAAAGCAAAATATTATCAATGAAAATCTTGTAATTACCCAGCAAGATCTGCTCTATGTTTTGATTCCAATTAAAATATTTATAATAACCAAAAAATATCAATACAAATAAAAAAAAGTACCTCTGGTTAGTTATTAACACATCTTCTTTAGGAGACCCAAACCAAACCAAACAACAACACTCACATTTTGTCACCTTGGACTCTGTCAAAAAATAAATCAATATGCGTCTGTCCTCCCAAAAAAAAACCAATAGGATAAATAATTAATATGTATGTGTTGATCAAATCACAAACTTTTTTATTTTTTTTTATAAAGATGTCGAAGTCTACAACAAATAAAAGAAGAAAACAAAATGAAATAACTGAAAGAGAGTAAGTGTTTTAAGGATGGTGGTGGTGGTTATTGCCACTCATAATTACTCTAGTTATTTATAAATTTGTTTATTTTATTTATTTAGAGAGAAAATTGCCAAAGACAATGTACTTGAAAACGATTTATACTTTAATTCACCTACTGAAACAAGTCAAGTCCATCCATACGAACTACCAGGAAATGTTAGGCATAGGCATATGAATTATTTAAATTTTGATGATATTGATGATGGGTTATCATCTTGTATTAATTGTTTTGAGAGTTATCAAGTCAATGAATTTGATCAAGGGCTAGCTGTAGAAGAAATCCAATAATGAAATCATCAAGGATGTTGAAGATTCTAGAGAGATTGTGGAGCAAGATTGGAATGATTGGACATTGGAGTCAGGTGTATCTGTAAAAGAAATGATAAGGAATGCTGCAAAATTGAATGGGCATAAGTCAGGGTTGGCAAATGTGTGGTCCATTGGTGGTCTATTGGTAGTCCATTGGGTCCATTAGTGTAGCACTATAACCATATTTATTATTTTATTAATAGCAATGGACCAGTCAGTTTGCCAACCCTGGCATAAGTTAAGGTAGATTTCATTATTGTTGTACAGTGTAAAATACAGAAAGAATTGATATGATAAGATCTTACAGTTTTCTATATGACCTTTTTAACATTATCCCATATTCTAGACTTGAATGTTGGGGGATAATTAGATGTGGGAAAAAGATAGCATGTCCTAAATGGTGTGAAAAATCTGACTACTTAGAAATTCAAAGATCTTGCAAATCAAAAAATTGTAAATTAGAATATCCCTTTGAACTAAAAAGCATTGTTAAATTGGTATTATTGAATTTAATTTTTCTTCCTACTACTATTACTATAAGGAATCTCAAATTTAACTATCTTTTTTTATAGGACACATCAGAAGATGTAATTTCAGCAATAAAGAATTTCAAAACTGGGTCTCCGATCAGTTCTTTGGAAAGACGCTAAAAAAATTGTAAGTAGTTAATTCAATTAGTATGGTTCTTTTTAATTTAAAATTTAACATCTCATATATATGTGTGTGTGCATGTGTGTGCGTGTGCACTTGTAGCCACAGATTAGTATATCCTGAACATTCTGTTATGCAGAGAGAGAACATTTCAGAAAGCAGCTATGGTTTATATGTAATCAATCAATGCCTGATAGAACTATTTTGTGAAGAGAAAGATGTAATCTATAAGCAGTAAGTGTGTTTGTAGATGTTATCTTAGTGTAAAAAAGTTGCTGGTAATTTACATTACATAATTGATAAATAATATTGTCATCTTTTCCTGATTAAAGAGGGGAAATAATATTATCATCTGTAGAATCATGTCATAAAAGAAAGAAGGTTGTTAACTCATATGAACAAAAGGCAGATGCTTTTTTTACCTGCATAAAGAAGTCATTGGTAGAAATAGGACATCTTGAAATTAGTGGTGGTTACAATATTGTGGATAAGCCATGGTCTACATGGGACCATTTAAAGGGAGCAATTGGGAATGTGTATATGTTAGGTGAATTAGCACATTGTTATAAAAAAGCTTCAAATGAAGCCTTTTGAAGGTCCAAGTTTTTTCTTGCATGCATATGGTAAATAATTTCACATATTTATATTTATATTTATAGATAATCTGATTTCCTTAGTTTTGATATTTTAATTATTTCACACACTGTAGAAAAACAAATAGAGCTATGGGGAATGTCAAATCCAACAAATGGTGTCCTTTTAATGGAATGAATAAGTAAATCATTTGTTCCAATTGATTGGACAAGTCAACAAATTCATTTTTTTGATTTCATATCTCTCTTATGGGTGTTTAAGGTATTATACCTTTTTTTTCTTTGGATTGTTTAATATTTTTTTAATGCTCATCAAAGGTTGTTTGGTTGTTGTTGGATAGATAAATTTGCTAGAAACAATCAAAATTGTAAATGAGGTATGTGCTGAAAATGTTAATAATATGTTTGAAAATGTATCTCAACTTCCTGATGGTCTTCCTCTTCACTCATGTACTCTATCCAAAGAAGCTCACCATGCTGGGATAAAATCAATTTATGCTCAGAGTGAAGTTGGCGCTCCAAATAGTTCACCACTTTTCTTATACTTTACAGGCAAGATATTAGAATTTCAAAAATAATATTTTTTCTTAATGACAAATATATTTACTAAATGTGTTTGAAATATTTTTCAATGAAGTGCATTTTTTAATTAATGATTAATATAAGTTATTAAAAAAACTTAACATAAAAACAAAAGAAAAAAAAGAGCAATTAATAAAGAAATTCTGCAGACAAATTTTATTTGAATACATATAAAACTTTACACACTTGTGTTCTCTTACTGATAAGTGTCATGCAATATTTTCATCAAATTTTATAACATCAGAATTCAATTCTAACACATATGAACCTAGTTCATAAACTTCATAACCAAGTTGACAATTACCATACAAAATAAAATATCCATGATCACATTATATTGATGATACTAAATTTTGATCCCTGAAATCTGTGGAGTATTAATATTAATATCCACTTTGTCTGGTTTTGTTGCAGCATGCCCCATTTAATAATTTTTTATTTGTATAGTTGGCTCAGTTTAAAGACCTCCTAAAAAAATAGCCTCATTGGTTGGCAAAATAGGTTTCTACTTTTAATGTAATGAAGAGATTTCTCCAAAAAATCATTCGTTGTAGAGTTCTATTCTTTTTTAAAACGTACTTTGCTATGCTCATGAGAAATTTGAGCACTAGGATCATTGCTAAATTTAGACTAGTTTTTAATTATCTTTACTAAATTTAACCTAATACTCAACCATCATATCTAAATTTGGCATAATTTTTTAACCAAAATCACGCAATTTCGTGATTCATTCAAAAATACAACAAAAAAGGGTTACACAACAATAGGAGGTCTTTAGACTGAGCCAACCATAATATTTCATCATTAGCAAAATGATTAATGTATATATATACCTTATGTAAATTGATTCCCTATCTGAATATGGAAAGCAAAAGTGTGTTGAAAATTTATTATTATTATTGCAGATCTTTCTAATGAAATGATTTTCTTAAAAAAAGATTCTATTTGTAATAAAATATCTGATGTAAGAGAATTTTTTTTGCTTTAATAATTTGATGATTTATCATGGGTAATGCATTAATATTTTATTATCTCAGCAGTTGTATCATCGATTGCATCATTCATTTATCATAAATAATGCATTAATATATTATTATCTCATCAGTTATATCATCAAGAATTTAGAGAACATTCTTGTCTAATCATGAACAATACATCTGTATTTATTTATCTCATTTTTATATCATCATTTTTATATCATCGTGTTTATGTCATCACTTATATCATTGTATTATGTTCAGAAATATGTATAAAAAGATTGATTTTGCAACCTTCTAATGTTTGAGATAAAAGATAAATATAAATATTTTAAAAAATTTTAAATTTAAAAAATCATGTGAAATTCAATAACTTGGTTCTCTTGATAAGTCAGTCACAGAGGTCCACCCTGACATGTCCAACTTATCAAGTTTACATATGTATGCAGAAGAACAAGTTTATGAAATAAATATTGCTAGAGCATGATTATAATCAAAAAAAAAAAATGGTGGTGATTATTGATCATTCTAGCTGTATAAAAGAGGATCAGGGAGAATGATGCTTTAATTGTAAAAGGGTAAATGTTAATTTATTTGGTTTTTTTTTTTTAAAGGCAGTGGCAGTTGCAAAGTGTCAAATATACACTGTTATGATTTTCTTTTTGTTCAATTTCTAACCAATCTTTAATTTCCTAGCTCTTGCTTACAAAACAAGAATGCCCAGATTCAATTAAAATACTGAATATCCAGAACAAATTCCTGAAGAATATCAAAATCCAAACATTTGCAAAGTGTGTCAAGAAGAAATATCTCCACAATTCTCAGAACCGATAATCATTTTATCATTGGGGTGGTATTCCAAAGTTTGTATTGGAGAAAGCTGGAGATCCCATCACAGATCTGTTATTGGAACAAGCAGTAGTGAACATTAGTTTGGAAAAATACTTACAAAGTGTTGGTGAACTTGAAAGTAAAGAAGATACCAGCCAGCATGTAAAACATATATTCCACAGAAAATGTTTTGAAGATTGTCCAGCATGTAAATTTCCAGAAGAACCAGATCATCATGAACATGACAATCATGATTATACATGCAGCCCAAAGTATTTTGACACTGTCATAAAGGGGGTTACACATGTAGTAAAGGGGTGCTACACTTATGTTTTTAATAG